ACTTAAATAATAATAATGGACAAATCCTTATGAAAGTTAAATCATCACAATAGCAGCACCACCACCATAGACCTATGTTTTGCAATCGTTACCAGGAGATGTAAACAGCTACGATATCATTATTTTGAAACCCACAATACACATTTTAGAATCAAAATAACAAAACCCTCTTTTAACATTTTGAAACCCTAAGTGCCAAAATTACTCAACTTCAACACTTTATCAAAACAACCAAAAATCTATGTCAAAGACCATAAGAGTGAGTAGGAATCCCTACCTCAAATTCGGAGCCCAAGAGAAGAGGATGAAAAAAATCAAAATGCTCCAAACTCCAAGATCCACGGATCAAAATGAAGCCCTTGACGATCAACACAACTTTTACAAAGGCCAAAGGGGAGGGAAGCACTCTAACTAGATCAAACCCTAGAGAGAAGGGAGTTTCTAGAGAGAGAAGCTCTCAAAAACGTTTTTAGGAAAGTAAGAGAGAGAGAGGAAGTGTAGAAAATGATTCAAAAATGCCCAGCCGCCCTCTGTTATACGACATTCTCGGTCGAGCTGAAAATACAACGCTCGAGCGTCAAGAACAAAAAACTAGGTCCGCTCGAGCGCAAGAAAGCCCGCTCGAGTGCCAAGACATAAGAATAAAGTACATCCGCTCGAGCGTGAAATCCAGTCCGCTCGAGCGTAGATTTCCCCCTCCTAGAACTTACACAAAAAATGTACTACCCGCTCGTGCTCCAGAGTACCCGCTCGAGCGCGACTGCTCGAGCGTAAAGAAACCCGCTCGAGCGTGAAAAACATGCTTGCAGAAGTTTAGCAGAGCACCAAAAACTGGACAACAAGGAATTGAAACCAAAGTCTAACCAACCTATAATGACTCTGCCCAATACATCCTAAAACTCAATCAAGCGGAATAAAAGGATGACAACAAGGTATACAACCACCAACATCACAGAACCAAAGTCCGAAAAACAGTAGAGACAAAAAAGGAAAACCGGGATCGCTATAATATGAATAATAGATTTAATGACCACCTCTTCAGGTTTGAATTCTTATTAAAAATCCTATTATTCTTTCAAGCCAAATATGATAAATAGAGCACAACAGAGATAGTCTAAGAATATGTGATCTCAAAGATCTACCCTTGGTTTCTTTGGTAGCCAAAGTAATCAAATTATGCCGATGAAGATCAGGCCAATTCACATTGCACTTAGTTTTGAGAGCACTCCATACCCTAGCAGAAAACATGCAATTAAAGAAGAGGTGAGAATGACTCTCAACCGGATCTTGACAGAAATGGCAGATTAAATTAAGAGTCAGGCCAAATTGTTGTAACCTATCACCAGTATTCAATCTTTCATGAAGAGCAATCCAAACAATAAAACTAACTCTAGGGATCATGTGCGGTCCCCAAAGTAGCTTCTGCCAAGTAACTTTATCACACTTATTCCTCCAATGATTCCAAGCAGAGTTGATACTGAACTTACCATCAGGATTTAACTTCCAAATAGGTTGATCACTTCTGGATGGATCAGGTTTACAATAACAGGGAGTAGATGAAACCAATTCCCTAAGTTCCCAAGAATTAGGAGTAGGCCACTTCCAAGACTCACCATCAACAAGTTGATTGACTTTAGTCTCACTGTTGAGACAAGAGTCCTATAAAATTCTATCCCCAAACTTGTCCTAAAGGGGACCAAGAGGATGCCAATTATCATACCGTAAGAAAGTGGAATCACCATTCCCAATCCTATGGGTTATCAGAGGGGAGACAACATTCCAAAGGGATAGAATCTTTCTCTAGACCCAAGAGGGGTCATTAGGGACTTATACTTTCCAAAAACTGTTGCCTTTAAGTAAATAGGATTTAACCCATTGACACCACATTGATTTCTCCCCACCTGAAAATAGGAACCAGATATACTTAGCAATAGCAACCCTATTCCAAGTCTCTAGAGACGTAAAGCCCAGGCCACCCTCATTTTTTGGAACTCACACCTTATTCCAAGCAATTATAGCACTATGCTTTTTAAGCTCAGTGCCAAACCAGAGAAAAGGTTTGAGAATACTCTCAAATTAACTTACTTATTGAAAGAAATTTCTAAATTAGCCTGGCCATATTCTGAAACAAGCACATAGGAATTGTAGAAAAGGTTCAAAAAAATAAAATGAAGGAAATGAAAAAAGAAAAGAAAAGAAATAAAAGGCAGCTAGGTTCTGTGAGTTGCACCTATGGTGCCTATCTTTAATCAAGATCAAGGCACAAGGATTGATGCAAGATGCACAATCAGGAACCGACAGATTATAGACTTTGCCCAGGCACAGTGCAACTTTTTACTTGGCAAACTTAAGAGTATCAAAATTACTTTGTTTTGTTTTTAACTAATATGTAAATATGTACTTTATGTCTGTCTACAAGAGATTCCAATATGAACTTAATTAAAGAACAATATTTTTTTTTTTTACAAGTAATCATCATATAGATATGTATTTATGTGTGTTTATGAGGCAGAAATGAGACTACAGGATGGAGATTTTTGCTACAACCATTCATTTATTTTTCAAACTTGGACTATCAAAATTGCATTGTTTTGTCTTGCACTAATGTGTCTGTACATATGTCCATTTTTTTCGTGCGAAGTAATTATCATATAATTTATTTATGTATGATAAAAAATATACACATTGGTATTTGGTACACTGTTGAAGTCAGTAACATTCATTTATTTCATTCATTGTTACAATTTGTAGGTAACTAGCCATAAGACTAGCCTTATGGCAAGATGTAGAAGGGTTTATGCTCATGCACGTGACTATCATATTAATTCTATTTCAAATAACAAGTGGTTGAACCATAATTTTGAACTTCTATTGACATGTTACTTTCCATTCTAATTGAATTGCTCTTTAACTTTTTGTAGTTGTTTTTTCTTTGTTTACTATTTGGGTTGTCTCATGAGCTTAGAGTTACTAGAATATACTGATAGCATGTTATTTTTCTCTCATTCCACTTTCTTTCTTGATAAGGAAAAATTTGTTACCATTCTTTCTTCCTATCAGAAAGAATTTAGAATGTGATCAAGGATTTTTTTTTTTTTTTACAAGTGGTCAAGGATTTAAATTCTACTGGTTTTTCACGATTAGCATTTTGTCCTTTCTGTGTCTTTCCTTTTTTTGTTTTTTTTGTTTGTGTGTGTGTGTCCTGTTTAATTAATTGCATTTTTATTAATGAAGCCTCTAACTAGAGGTATAGAAAGAGGAAGAGGATAATTGACTATCTTGGATTGAATTATGAGGATATATCATATATTTTTCTGCTTTTCTTTTCCTCTGTGTCTTTCCTTTTTTTTGTTTTTTTTGTTTGTGTGTGTGTGTCCTGTTTAATTAATTGCATTTTTATTAATGAAGCCTCTAACTAGAGGTATAGAAAGAGGAAGAGGATAATTGACTATCTTGGATTGAATTATGAGGATATATCATATATTTTTATGTGTACATACATGAATACATAATTAAATTTCTTTCTAATTGAAGACATGCTCTTTGGCTGTTTGTGTGGGCCTAAACTTTCCATGTAAGTATGATGAAATAAATACATTGTGTTTTAATGACTGTGAGCGTTTTGTATGACAAATTTTCTTATTTTGGGAGGGTCTAGAATATTCAATTTCATATTTTTACTTCGTTAAGGTTGGCTTATGCAATAAAATATGGCTATGGAGACAGACAACATATAATTAGGACATGCAGGTTGAAAGTTACAAATCAGAATCGAATCAAGCCTATTCTATACATGTGATATTTGTATATAAAATTTAACAATTCAAAATCATTGTAGAAATAGAATAAGTAATTTATATTGCATAACTTTTGAATATCACTATTAAAGAAAAAGGAAGCACTGTTGCAATAGTAGAGTCCATCGTGATTTGTGCTAGTGGTATTTACATTTATTTAGAATTCTCTCCTACTCTGAATCTATTTTATTTAGGAGACTTGTTGTGTGTTATTAACTATTATTTTTGACACACACATTAAAGAGCAAAATATTTAATCTGATTATGTATAAAATCTAGAAATTTTCATACTTTTATTTGGATTTATTTGGTTTATTTTAAAAAGGCATGAAAAACTTGAATTTATTTCTAGAATTTTCATAAAGAAATTTTAACATGCTGTTAAGGATGTTTTGTTTATTATCGTTGCATGTTTAAATAGTAAGCAAATTCAATTGAATCTCACACAATGAATTATAACATGTTCTTTTAGTTTTTATAATTTTTGAGATTCATTGGCATGTTATCTAAAATAATGTAATATTATATTACATGCATTAAGGTAATTATTTATGCATTGAAAATTCATGTGAAATAAGAGTATGAATACACTATGTGTTGGGCTTATGGAATTTATTTTGGTCCAATTTTTAAGCAAATTCAAGCATAAGGTTGAATTACGTGTGTTTGGTCTTGGGATTTTTCATGTGATATTACTTTGATTGTATGTATTATACATTATGTGCATTGAAAGATTATGTATTTGTTATGACTATAAGGATTTGCTTATATTAGTAAATTATGCCATATTTAAAAATTTTATTCTGTTTTAAGAGTAGCCACAGCATCTTAAGACAAAAAGATGTGATCCTTAGTATTTTGATCACATAAAGTTAAAAATTAATTTGGCATTTTTACATTGCAATTATGTTTTATAAATAATTTCTTGGTCCCACAGGAAAGTAATTATTTATGAAATTTAATTGGAATAAGATAATGAATTGGGTATTAAAGGGATTGAACACTCTAAACCCACAGGTATGAGTTTCCTTTTCCTTACATACTTCGGAGCCCATTAGTCTTATTATAAAGTAATAGCAAATCTAATATAGTTTAGTGACCTCTACCCATAGGAAGGTTTAGATTTGTTACTGAATTTGACATTGGTTGATTCAGACTATAGCTATTGTTTCAAAGCATTAATAATGTTCTTGGTAATTGCAGCGATTTCTACTTCTATACTATCTAATGAGTCTTCTCGTATTCCATTCTTGAACGGTGATAATTTTTCGGACTGGAAGGACAAAATCCTTCTAACATTATGGTGCATGGACCTCGATCTGGTACTTCGTGTGGATGAACCTCCTGAACCCACGGACGAGAGTTCTGCTGCAGAAAAGAGTGCTTATGATAAGTGGGAGCGATCCAATCGCTTAAGCCTAATGCTCATAAAGTCACAAATTAGCCAGAGCATTAGGGGCTCAATCCCACCATCTGATAAGGTCAAGAACTACATGAGGGCTATTGAAGAGCAATTTGTTAGTTCTGACAAAGCATTGGCAAGTACCCTAATGAACAAACTATCAGGAATGAAACATAACAATTCTAGGAATGTGCGTGAGCACATTATGGAAATGAGGGACATTGCAGCTCGTCTTAAGTCCTTAGAGATTGAGATTTCTGAGTCATTCCTTGTCAATTTCATACTCAATTCTCTTCCTGTGGAATATGGAGCATTCCAAATTTCTTACAACACACAGAAGGAAAAATGGTCTATCAATGAACTTTTGACCATGCGTTTTTAAGAGGAGGAGAGATTGAAGCATGGAAAAGTGAAAAGTGCTCATTTAGCAACACATCAAAGGAGGACAATGGAAAAAGGGCAAAGGTGATCAGAAATGGAAGAAGCTTGGTAAAGTGCCATTTAAAAATCATGGCAATAAGGGTGCATGCTTCTTCTGCAAGAAAAAAGGTCACATAAAGAAAGACTGCCCCAAGTATAAGAAACGGCTTGAGAAGAAAGGTAATCTCATATCTCTTGTGTGTTATGAATCTAATTTTGTTAATACTCATCAATATGATTGGTGGATTGATTCGGGTTCTATAATTCACATTGCTAATACCATGCAGGGTTTCCTCAGCTTAAGGAAACCGACAGGAAGTGAACAAGGCATCTATTCGGGCAATGGGATGCATTCGCACGTCGAAGCTGTTGGAACTTTCAGACTTGTTTTAAAAAATGGCTTTGTTTTGGATCTTGAAAACGCATTTTACATTCCATCTTTTTCAAAAAACTTAATTTTGTTTCTAGACTAGTACCGTTTGGATTTGAATTTCAGTTTGTTGGTACAAATTTTAGTTTGGTTAAAGACTCTATTTCTGTAGGATTTGGTACTTTAATTAATGGTTTGTACAAATTAAATTTGGATCCTATTTTTTGAACAAAATCTTTTAACCTTGCATGGTGATATTGGTATTAAGCGTAATATTGTTGATGAGTCCTCCTCTATTCTTTGGCATAGCAGATTGGGACATATCTCCATTGAGAGAATAAAGAGGTTGGTTAATGATGAAGTCCTTCCAACTCTTGATTTTACCAACTTTGGTATTTGTGTGGACTGCATAAAGGGAAAGTAGACCAACAAGACCAGTAAAGGTGCCAAAAGGTGTGAGGAAATTCTTGGAATCATACACACTGATATTTGTGGACCATTTACTCCACCTTGTCTGAATGGTTAGAGATATTTTATCTCATTTATTGATAACTTCACACGATACATGTATCTCTACCTCTTGTTTGATAAGGCAAAGGCACTTGATGCCTTTAAAGTTTATAAAGCAGAGGTAGAGACACAAACAGAAAAGAAAATTAAAATTGTGAGGTCAGACAAGGGTGGAGAATATTATGGGAGGTACACAGAATTGGGACAATTACCAGGTCCATTTGCTAAGTTCCTTAAGAAGTTAAAAATTAATTTGGCATTTTTACATTGTAATTATGTTTTATAAATAATTTCTTGGTCCCACAAGAAAGTAATTACTTATGAAATTTAATTGGAATAAGATAATGGATTGGGTATTAAAGGGATTGAACATTCTAAACCCACAGGAATGAGTTTTCTTTTCCTTAAATATTTCGGAACCCATTAGTCTTTAGTTATTCTAATGTGTCTATAAATTTATGGAGTGAAGCTTTGAAAACCGCTGTGTATATCTGAAACAGGGTTCCATCCAAGGTTGTTTCCAAAACACCGTTTGAGTTATGGAAAGGATGGAAGCCAAGTTTAAGACACTTACACGTTTGGGGTTGTCCAGTTAAAGTGGGGGTGTATAATCCACATTTAAAGAAATTGGACTATGCAGAAAACTCCAAGGGTTACAGATTTTATTGTCCTTCAAATTCACTTAGAATTGTTGAAGCCAGAAATGCTAAGTTTATTGAGGAAGTTGACCCTAGTGGGAGTTACCCTCGAAAGATAGAGTGGAAAGAATCACGGGATCCGGATACAACACCCATGAATATAGGTGAATTGGTTGTCTTTCAAGATGATCAGCCCGATAGTCTTGAAAATCAACAAATTCAAGAACTTCCACCACAAGAGGAACAAGTCAACATAGAGCCTGCAGCTTAAGTCCCAATTGAGACTATAGGATTAAGGAGATCCTCACGAGCTAGAAAGTCAGCAATTTCTGCTGATTATTTTGTATACTCAATGGAGTCTGATTTTGACATCGGACCTAAAGATGATCCTATTTCATTTTCCAATGCCATGAATAGGGATGATTCTAAATTATGGTATGATGTCATGAAGGAAGAGTTATAATCTATGGCTAAGAATCAAGTTTGGGAAATTATTGAGTTGCCTAAAGGAGTTAAAGCGGTTGGCTGTAAATGGGTCTATAAGACCAAGAAAGACTCCAATGGCAATGTCGAATGATATAAAGCCAGACTCGTAGCTAAAGGTTTCACTCAAAGAGAAGGCATCGATTATCATAATACATTTTCTCCAGTTTCTAAGAAGGATTCATTTCGAATTATCATGGCATTAGTAGCTCATTTTGATTTAGAGCTACATCCAATGGATGTGAAAACGACATTTTTAAATGGGGATCTTGAGGAAGAAGTATACATGAACCAACCTGAAGGTTTTTGTTCTGATAAAGATAGTCACTTAGTTTGCAAGCTCAAGAAATCTATATATGGACTAAAACAAGCTTCCCGGTAGTGGTATTTAAAGCTCCACAAGGTTATTACTTCATATGGTTTTACGGAGAATGTTGTGGACAATTGTATATACCTTAAGGTTAGTGGGAGCAAATACATTTTTCTAGTTCTATATTTGGATGACATTTTACTTGTATCTAATGATTTGGGATTGTTGCATGATACTAAACAATTTCTTTCTCAAAATTTTGAAATGAAGGATATGGGTGAAGCTTCTTATGTCATTGGCATAGAGATGGGTCTAAAAGGACATTAGGACTCTCTCATAAAGCCTACATTGAAAGAGTTTTGGAGAAATTCAAGATGAGTGATTGCACTCCTAATGCAGCACCCCTTTTAAAGGGTGACAAATTCAGTTTAAGTCAATGTCCAAAGAATGATTTGGAAAAGGAACAAATGGTTAGCATTCCCTACTTCTTATGTCATTGGCATAGAGATTCATAGAGATGGGTCCAAAAGGACATTAGGACTCTCTCATAAAGCCTACATTGAAAGAGTTTTGGAGAAATTCAAGACGAGTGATTGCACTCCTAATGCAGCGCCCATTTTAAAGGGTGACAAATTCAGTTTAAGTCAATGTCCGAAGAATGATTTGGAAAAGGAACAAATGGTTAGCATTCCCTATGCGTCTGCCGTAGGCGGTTTAATGCATGCTCTGGTTTGTACACGACCTGACATTGCATTTGCAGTTGGGATGCTTGGAAGATACCAAAGCAATCCAGGAATGGAACATTGGAAGGCTACAAAGAAAATCATGAGGTACTTAAAGGGAACCAAGGACTACATGCTTACTTACAAGCATGTTGACTGTCTTTAGGTGGTTGGATATTCAGACTCGGATTTTGCGGGTTGTTAAGATTCCAAAAAATCCACTTTAGGATATGTCTATCTGCTAGCAGGCGGTGCTGTTTCATGGAAGAGTACCAAAGAGACGATAATTGCATCGTCAACAATGGAAGCAGAGTTTATAGCCTGCTTTGAAGCAACCTCACAGGCTGTTTGGTTAAGGAATTTTATCACAGGGCTTGAAATTGTGAATTCAATTTCTAGGCCATTAAAGGTTTACTGTGATAATTCGGCTGCGGTTTTCTTCTCTAACAATAACAAAAGTGGTAGCCGAAGCAAGCATATTGATATAAAGTATCTTGCTATTCAAGACTGTGTTAAGAAGCAAGAAGTCAGCATTGAGCATATTAGTACCAATATGATGATTGCAGATCCCATGACCAAAGGTCTTTTTGTAAAGTTGTTTTCAAAACACGGTGAGGGTATGGGACTGATTGGTTAGCTCAATAATTTTTTCTAGTTGTTGTTTTATTTTGTTTTGTCATGACATTTTGATTATTATTAGTGAAAAGAATCATTTTGTGCACCTAAAGTATTTGTGATGCTATGCAGTCCATTGGGACTATTGATCCATAGGGATCATTGGACCCAGAATAACTTATTAGAAGTTATTCATAAAGAATGACACCACGTAAAGTTGAGAGTGTAATACAATGTAATACATGGAAGGAAATACTTAATTGATGGAGTATAACCGCCATGATTCGTGTATTATACCTCTAAGGTTTGGATATTTTTATTCAATGGCCATCATCAGTTTGTTAGTTACCCGACAGCCAACAACGTGTGTTAAGTGGGAGAATGTGAAAATATCCATAAAGTGGCCCATATGCCACATGTTTGTTTTATTTATTTATTTATATTATATATATTTAATTGGTTTAATGACTAATTAATTAGTTTAATAGTGAATGGGTAACTGTTGTGTGTTTAATATCCCATATGATGGTTTCATGGGACTTTACAACTTCCCTGATGGTGGGAAGTTATAAACAGTTACACTTGGATATGGGTCCAAGCCTATCTATATATATGCCTGTGATAGCCATCAAACACAGACGTTGTTTTGTGCATAGAATAGGCTTGAAACTCTGTCCCTTTCACTTTTCCCATATGGTTCTGTAAAAGTGTTCTGTGAGTGGACTTCTTTATACATTCAAGATTTGATCATTCAAGGATGAAGGTTCAAAGGCTTGAACATCATGGCAGGAGGTATTCTTCTTTTGAATTAAAATTTAATTTAATTCTCACATTATAGACATTTTAGTTTTTTTTAGTAACTTTTTTACTTTTAAGTTAAAACAGACACATGCCAAACGAGGCCTGAGGCCTCTTTTGACAACATCACCTTTTAGCTTAAAAGTTAAAATGTTATTAAAAAAATTAAAAAGTCAACAACGTATACTAAAAAATCAAAGATTTCATTTTTATTTTTTATTTTTGCATATCTTTTCATAAAAATTTAAAAAGTCATCCTAAGCATACTAAGTTTTTTACATCATATTTTAATTAAAAAATTAAAAAGATATTAAAAAAAATATGTTCTCAATTGAGGCTTGAGTTAAGATCCTTGAGGCTGTGCTATATCCCCACGTCACCCGCATAGGTTTTACTTTCTCGCAGGTGTAGTTACTTGAGCGACACGTGAGAGGGTGTAGACGTGGAGGTCTCAGGCATGTCTGTCACTTTTGCATGGCTGTTTTGTTATCTGCATGTCAACTCCTTTGCCTAGTG